ATTCAAAAATTGATAATTTAACGGCAAATTTTTTCGAAAAAAGATAAAGAAAAATTAATCGGTTAAGATAAAAACTTAATTGTTTATTTTTAAGTCTGGAAAGAACCTTTTTTACGATTTTACGTTTTTGATTTTTCGTCCTTTTGATACAATTTTTTTAGAAAATTACAAAGGTCAGCAAATAATGCAAGCTATATAGTTTCCGTTTAAGATAACCCAATGAATATATAACATTTATTACTCTCGTTTTAAGTAAAATTTACCAACTCAAAATTAGCTTGAACGCTTAAGATTGTACTTTTTTTGGTCGAGTACTCAAAATTTCGATAACTATCAATGAATTGAAGAACTGTCGATGAGTTGAAACTGTCTCCGATAGGGAGCTATCCGAGTACTCGAAAATTTGGTGGCTATCGAGGGCTCAATAATAAAGCAGAACGAGAAAAAAAAAATTTCACATTTTCGAGCAGTCGTCGAGCCAATCGCATGCATTTTAGCGTCTGCTTGGGTAGCATAGAACTTAAAAATGACCTTTATATTAAATATGAATACGAAGTCAATGCTTCGTTATTTACCATTGTTATTTATGAGAAACAGGACACCAATATTGCTGCACGATATTAATAGCAGCTTAGGTTTGTCGATTTCAACTTCAGGAGATATTCTCTTGTAAAATGGTCAAATTAAGATAAAGCGGCCGCTCAAGCGGTAAATGAGACGCGGACGGCCGCTCCGCACCAGTCCCGCTCGCAAAATTTTGAAGCGGTGCGGCCGCACTCATAGAAGTTATACTCCTCAGAGCGGGACGGACGGACCGCACGAGCGGTGCGGCCGCTCCGTACCCGCGCGAGCGGTGCACATCTCTGGAGTGCGCTAGAATCGCCAGCTCAAGAGCTACAAAACTATATACAATGCTTGATTCAAAGCTTTACTAGTTTGGGAGTTCTAGGTACTATATTCGACAATTCTAGTCCACATTGCCAGCAATTTCTGTAAAAACAACTCAGTTCTTTTGAGATTTTTTCGTTTTTCCTGGAAAAATCAAGCCTGTTTTTAAGACATTTCTTTGTTCAACTATTGCAAAAGGTTTCAAAAATCCAAATAAAAAGTCATTGTCTTATATTATTCGATGTGTTTTCATCTGCTCTTTCCAACGATGAAAACCGCAGCTCTGAATCTTGTTCCTACGCAAAGTTATTCAAAAAATACCCACCCGCCTTCTTTTTTGGAATGGGCAGTAGTAGAGGTCACTAACATACATTGGTTATAAAAATTTCTAGGTCGAATGTGTTAATACAGATGAGTTAAGATAAAAACAGTTTATGTTGGCATTACTGTTAACTATGATTGTGCAACAAATTGAAGTTTAGGTTCTTGTTCTTTCTCATCTCAACGTTAGGAAACGAGAAAGCAGATGACTAATTCAATGAATAATGACACAGTTATTGTGCAAGTACATATGCAAGAAAGCAAATTCACTGGTTTTTCATATATGTCGATGTTAGTGATGCCAATATTGACTATGATTATAATTTTGGATTATTTCATAATGTCTCTCAACAATCAACATCTCTGAAAAGAATCGAAAACGAAAAATACATTCATCAATGTCTATATTCATTATTTACTTTTGATGTAGTAGAAAAATATCGACGACTAAAATATCGATTAAAACCAAGTCCAGAACTGCTTCAATTCATAGGTATGCTTATGGCCAAAGATGAGATTTCCAAACGAACTAAAATGTGGAAGTGCAAGCGTTTAAAAATGTAAGAAAACTATTTCTCAACCCTAATAAGAATTTCAAGAGAAATTAATACCTCGTTTATGTCCAAAGTGCTCATCTCGAATATTCGAACGATAAATTAGCTTAGTTGAACTTCGTCAAAGCATGTAATCGATTATTACTTATGAATATCAACATCGATTGATCTACTATACAAAGATTTTTCAATCGTCTAATTCGCGTGTTCACAGGACTGATTGTTTCAAATTCGAATCTTCTCAGAAATAAAGATTATTTTGATAATGACAATCATTAGATTAATTTTTTTATCATATTTTATTCGATCTATGGAATTAGATAATTTTATTTTCGAGGTTAGTTCTTCGATCAATAGAAACTGTTATCGTTCTAGATTGAATTTTCTAGTCTTCACTATACTATGTCTTACATATAGTTGTTAACCGCAAAATATTCCTTCAAACAGCTCATACACTTGCAAATCTTTCATTTTACTGCTTACAGCAGAAAAAATGTGAATTCGTTAAAAAATTATTGGTATTAGTATTATGACTTGTTCATGAAATCAGTAAGGACCATTTCTTTACCTCAGGCTGATAGGTATTATATTGTCTGTTTTGTTTTTAATTATGGCGACTACCAAAGGTTATTCTATATCATTTGTTCTATGCGCATAGCAATGGTTCTTGTTATATATATATATACGCACATTCGAAGATTTTTTGAAATCTATTATTTTTATTTCAGATCTTAATATATATTAGTGACGATTGCTGACTCTTCTATTGATACATCTCATATCTCATCACTCGACAATACATTGTTAAAATACGTACCAATCCGTTTGTTAATGGAAAGTCAAGATCCATCTTTTAGCAACCTTTTAAATCTATATAGTTGGAAAGAGATTCCTAATTGCCCTGGACGATATCTATTAGTTAAAGAAGATAATCAACATCTTAGACTTATTCCACCGAACGCCTTTTTAAATAATCAACTACCCATAGAAATATTTACAAGTGAAATGTGTCGAGATCGAATATATATTGGAAAATTGTCGGATGGAGGACTATTATCCTATGAAAAATCTGATGGAACATTTGTTCATACGTTAAACAATCCTTCGGGTCTGAAAAGAAAGATGAATCATTTAAATATTCATTTTTATGACGAAACTGTAGACAAATAATTCTTTTTTTTCAAATTCCTATTTTTGCATACTTTGTACATTTCTATAAGTTCTGAATAAGCGAAGATAGACAAGTGCTCTTGCTTTTTCTCTTTATTGTTAAAGTTTTCATTTCAACGTATGGTTTTTTGCATGAAAATTTGAGTAAAAATCGTAATGAAAGTGCTCTTCATTCTGTTATAAAATTTATTTTAATAGAAAGAACTTGAATATTTTGAGAATGGCTATACATGCTTAGCTAATTTCTTCCTTGTGAAAATACAAAGAAAAGAAGCATAGTTAATTATTGTATGGTTTGCTAAACTGATGGGGAACAGCAGTATGGAATGGGCTTACCCTCATCTAATTTTTTTTCTAAAATGGCATTATCATGTAAGAAAGCTTTTTTAGTTGTAGATGAAGATAGTATTAGCTAAGTTAAACTCAGTCGTTAGACGAATCGTTTCGTAAAATACTTGAATCCTGAATAAAAATATCCTAAGTATTCATTCATCTATTCATGTGTCTACAAACTGCATTGTTCTTCTTATCTTGTTTCTCTATCTAAAATGCATGCAAACACTGATGAAAAATGAACTTTCTTGCCTAAAACAACATATATACAAATGATGGCTTCAATCAATTACCATGACAAATGATTTCAAACGTAGATAACTATTCATGCCAATGGTTGATGGAATGACCTGCTAAACTATTCTGAATCATTGACTAACAGTCTTTCATTCTTCTAGATTCTACGGCGACTGTCAATAGATTGATTTAATCTAACGATGGAGCCGTTGACGAGAACGCTAACGAGATAATCTCGAAAATTCTCTGAATGCAGTTATTAATCGTTTCGTATCCATGAAGATTGTTTAACACCTATCGATCGAATCAGTTGATCGATCCGACACGCCGATGACAACGTTTTATCATAGCTATAGATACGATGATCTGAATGCACGTCTACCTTGGTTGTGGGCTGTGACAATTTAGAATTTTTTTGATATAGGTGGTGCTGCGTGTATGCTGGAGCGAGCCGCACAGGGAGAGAAAATTATTATCTTTTTTGATATAGATTTGAGTGTAAATGTGTATGCATATTAATCAACTACTATCTAACATTCACACCTGTACCCATATCCACAATCTGAGCATACGACACATAAGTACCATATGTTACGTAGAACATTTATTAGAAGAATACATTTTATTCGCTAATTTTATAATAATAAAGTAGGATGCAATATATTAGATTAGATGAATTTAAGAGTAGATTAAATGTGAAACTTCATCAAGTGATAAAATAGATAGCTAGAAGGTTTTTTCAAGTTGAAAAGAATCATAATATTATCTAAAGAAGATAAACTAGATATAGTTTTTGGCGAATATATTTCCACTTACTTTGTAGAAATCGTATTTGACGTTAATTGATGAAGTTTAAAGTTAATGTGAAGAATTTTGATATCTATATCAAAAAAACTAATACATTTACGAAATGAACTCTTAGTTATTTATTTTTATCAAACTAGTTGAATTCTTGTGTGTTGAAGAAAACAAATCATTTTCTGTCTTTGTTGAAATGCACTAGTAACTTTCAAATTCTTTTCATTCTCTTCTGATCTTCTTTTTTTTGGATCAATTTACCTACAAAATATTACCATGATCGATTTTGAATCACTAATAGCGTTTTTCCGAACGGATCTTAATCGTAAAGAACAATAAAAAAATTTGAAAATATATCACCGATTGTTTTTCTATCGATCACTAATGGTTAAAAAAATTCTTAAATCTGTTATTAAGACACTATGCCGTATCCAACTGGATTATTCATGAGCCTTTTTTTGCTCCATAAAATCTATTCATTCCCTTATCATATAAAGATTCAAAAGATATCATAGAAATGAGGTATACAAAATAGAACAAACAATGACGTAAATCATATCTGAAGTATAAAACCTTATTAAATAAGATGTAGATTTATTTTTATCTCTTGTGATCTCTTTCTGTTAATGAATTTTTTGTTATTGCGTTTTAAAAGATACCTGTTCATTCTGTTTCTCTCCGTCGTTGTCGACAAACGTTATGTCGAACATTGCACAACTTTATTCAATAGCAACAAATGTGAATCGATATGGATCATTAATTGTATTTCTATTTGGATCTGTCGGTGTTGTACTAAATGTGTTTATATTTAGTACCGATCGAGAACTAAAACAAAACCCATGTTCTCGCATTTTTTTGGCTTCATCAATCGCCTCTTGTATTTCTTTATTTTCAGGTTTACCGACTCGATTCTTCAATTCATTTGGTTTGGATTTTACGGCAAAATATGATATTCCATGCAAATTCTATATGATCACTCTTGTTGGTGCATTAAGTTGTTCCGCACTGTTCATTGCTCTTGCCTCCATTGAATGCTGGTTAAATAGTTCTCTCAAAGTAAGTTATCGAACAATTTTATCAATGAAGAACGTCAATCGAGCTATTACTATCACGGTAACTATGGCATTTCTATGCTACAGTCACATACTTTATTGTTATGCAGCTAATCAAAAGAATGCACGTGGTGCATGTACTGGAATCAATAGTGTATGTCTCTATTTAAGTGATTTTATTCATCTTATTCTATTTATTATAATACCAATTGGAATAATGTTGATATTTGGTTCATTAACTCTTCGAAATATTAAACAAAATCATCGTCGAATTGCAAATGTTAAGACTAATCAAAACAAAAGTAATGTACGCGGATCACAAAGACAACAATCAACATTAACTGCTTTGATGTTAATACAAGTTTGTTTAATTACAATGTGCAATTTATCTGCTGGTATATACAAAATCTATTCAACAGTCACTGATTATATATATATAAGAGTTCAGAACGACGAGCCATCGAAACTATCATCTTTCAATTAGTCTTTCTTTTCTCTTCTATCAATATTGTGGTAAGATTTCTTTTATTCGAATGTATCTTGTAGAAAAAAAGGATAGCCCATATTCATTTCAGAATTATTCAAAAATAAATATTCATTGAACAAATAATTTTTTTTCTTTATATTTTCAGCTACCTTTCTATTTGTATACACTTACTGGTAAACTATTTCGAGAAGCACTTTTTCGACGTTTTCATAATCGATTTTTTATTGTCGTGGAGTGAACTAAGAGAAAACTGCAACAATAAAGTCTCAATAAAATCATGCTCAAACAATTCCATTACAACTTCAATGAATTTTTTTCTTTTTCTTGTATTCTTTGTTGTTTTGTTTGGTGAACACTTTATCTTGTAAATTTATCGTCTTATCTATAAATAAATTTATTCATCATTCATATCCAAGACTAAAAGCTGACTTCTTTTCTTGTCTATTATTGTTCAAAAATATTTCGTCTTTAAACGTGAAAGCACTATGTTTTTTTTTTTACAAAGAAGTTATTAATATTTGTGAAATCATTAGATATAACAAATGCCACGATTCTGTTCTTGCATTCTCAAGAGAAAAAGCAAAGGACACACAATGACTACGATCATCTCTAACAAACTGTGTTTACTCTTTCTACCTGCGTAGTTATTCAAATTCATAGAATCTAGGATAATGATAAATGATCTGAGTACTTCACGTCTTTAAATCAATCACTCAATGCTGCATGAAAGTAAAACGAATTTGTTACAGAAAGGATGTGTGGAGAGTGGTGTAGATGTGGGAGTGAGTCTGGATCTTGTTTTTCCCGATACCAGCACCCAACTCTGCGTGATCTTCTTTAGGTCACAATATTTTAAAATATTGTGATCGGATAAAGTTTGCTGATGGAAGAGAAATCATCTGCCATAGTCTACTACAAATTATATGAAGCCAACTTATGAGACTCATTGCAGAGTTGAAATGCACCGTAGTAGCTACAGTTGATATTTCTAGTCTTCGGATTAGACTTCCGAAAATTGAACTCACAGCGCTACTGATACAGTCCCCATTATGAAAAGAACTCTAGTACCGTGATAATTTATTTTCATTGGAAAACGATACTTCATCAATCGAAAAAAGATGATTGTAATACAACAGCATATTAGCTATGTTTTACATCTCAGCAATTTCGCCATCCGTTGAGCCCGAGACGAGTTCTAATGTCTTGAGCCGCATTATTGCTTATTTCTCGTACAGTTACATGAAGGTGAACTCCTGTGGACTGGCCAGATGTACCCATTTTACCAACTATTTGTGCTTTTGCAACTCTTTGACCATTGGTTACAGTTAATGAACCGGATTTCATATGACAATAGGTAACTATGACTGTATTATACCGTATTTGAACATAGTTACCACAATCACCACATGTTGCTCGATCGTAATCTTTGGCACCATTACATGTACCTATCACTGTTCCATCCCAAACTGCATACAAGTTGACAGATTTAGCACCATAAGATCCAATATCAACGCCAAGATGGCCAGCATGAAAGCCTTGTGTTACACATGCCTCACCATACAAAACAGGTGGATGATGACTTTGACCTCCAGCTAAACAGAATATAGTTATTGAAGCACTTCTAAAGTTTTGAACAGAATGACTTCACGATGAGTAGGACTACGACAACAATTGATACAAAGGGGTGTGGCTTCTTTATGTGACTGTGGTAAGCATATATGCAGAGAAACTACACCTACAAGATGATTCGAACGTTGAGAAATATGGCTAGTGACTTTTTTTCTCAGTTAGTGAAAAACATGTTGGTATCTTTGTCTAACAACAATTCATTGCAGAATAGTTGGAGTGAAGATGTAAAACAACTAACTTTTTTTCTTTTAGATCTCTAGAAGTTTTAAGGATTCTTCTAAAAAAAATTTCGTTCTTATTCTATCCTTTTACACTCAATCGATTATAAGAAGCCAACCTTTTTGAAGAAAATGGGATTAAAGCATTGATTTATCTATATTTTATATTTCAGAAACTGAAGACTTCGAGTATTTTTCACTTTAGATGTAGGTTATCAATTAATGGATATCATGATATTCAGTTTGGTTTAGCTTGAAGAATATAAAAAAAACTTTATTCCTCGTTTTAACACAAGTGATAAAGACTATATTATTACGACAATCATCGTAGTCAAAAGCTAGTTTTGTACGCTAGTCATCTTTATTCTCTGTTCTCATTGATTAGACAGGAAACTGTGTTGAATGTAATTGTGGATTTGGGTGTGTTTCTTCGCACATATTAGAACTTCTTGATATCTTGTAGTATTTCTGTCTTTCAGAAGTACAGAAGTATGCCTTATCCTTCTTGCCCACATCCACACCAGCAATCTTACCGCCACTGCTACCGCCAGTAGTACAGCATTGAATATTGTTGCCGCCAGGACAAAGATTAGCCGGATCGGAGCTTCCTTTACAAGTGGAAGTAGGCTGACATATGCCCGCGATACCCTGGCTATTTTTGCACGTGCCATATGTGCAACACTGGATTGAATTATCACCAGGGCAGAGATTAGCTGGGTCTGAGACTCCTCGGTTGGCTGCACATGTCTTAGTGCTAATACATTCCCCACTAAGACCATTCCTAGCCGTGCACGTTCCATATTGTTGAGCGAGAGTGCTAAAAGGCAGAACAGCCGTAAACACGAGCACTATAACTATTCGCATAGCAATATGCTACCAGTACAAATTTACGAGAGAATAGGTAGAATTATACGATTTATTCTAACATGTCTTTATATAGAGAAAAAATGAAATGATGTTAGTGATATCAGGTGCGCTTCTTCTCTTAATTTTGTTAACCTTATCTGTGCTTGATCAGCTATTTTATTCTTCAGCTGACAACTTTCCCATTCATTCTATTCTTCATAAATTTTGGCGAAATTAAGTTTAACTGCGAGGTATAATTTGGTCAGTTATTATACTAGACTTCGTCAAATCATCACGCAATGCGCTGGAAAAATCGAAATTTGATGTAGCTACGACCAAAAACACGAAAGTTACTCATGATAGTCATGAAAGATCTAAACTTTCCAGTAATATCGTATTAAAGTTTTACACCAATCGAAAAATTCGAGTTCTCTCTAATCTTTCATTTCAAAACGGTTAGAATATTCAAAAGATCTTGTCTCTTAAAAATCCAAGTCTACCCGAATCCGTTGCGAGTTTCAACATGAAAATGTCAAGAGAGCTTTCAAACCGTTACAGATCGTAACAGATATATCAAAACACCCTTTAAAATGTCAAACAGAAATAAAAAATGTTAATCGAAGACTTAAGAAGTAAGATCAATAATCATTTCAATCAATAATTATAACAAAATAACCTCTATTATGTGGAAAACCAATATAGCAAGTCGACATACTTCTCACGATCTTTGAGCAAGAAAAGAGCGATAGAACTGATTCTCATTTCTTTCAATGCACTGCAGCCCTCGTTAATAATTGTTTTTAACTAAATTCTACAGGCAAGACATGAAATTAACCTTTCCCGGACCAATCTTGCAAGTAGTCACTCAGAATTTCCGTAAAATTTTTTCTTCATTCAATCTATTTTAGAAGCTTCTTTATATTCACTAGGAAGAATGAGTTGGTCGATGACAATAACTGGATTGAGAGTAAATGACTCACGCTCTTGTGGAATGAGGATGAGTAGTTATTTGAGAGTCTAGGTCCTCATCATTAATACATTTTTGATATTTTTAACTTGAATATAACCCTCCAAGAATATTATTTACTATTAATCATTGAAAAACTTTTCCTATAAAATTAGAATTATTTTTGACTACGAGCAACAACTAACGTTCATCTCATGCTGTTTCATTTGACATTAGACTGAAGCATAATGATCTTTAAAGCTAGCAAAAATTTTTTTTTTGTATGTTTAACAATATCAGTGCTGAAGATGAACTAGCTGATCGCTTTCATGGTTTTACTATCTAGCCGTAACAGTATCGGACCCCATCTATGCCTGTTTGAATAGAAAGAAACCAACCCGAGACTTTACTTGAATGAGTGAATATTGAATATCAAAAGTTTCGTAGGAAAAAATTCATATATACTCCCGGAAAAAAATAGTTTCCGTCCATATTTCAAATATATTATCACTAGAAAAACATATTTTTTTAAAGCCAATTTACATATTCTGAAAGCCCGTGGAGTTTTCTATTTTTCTGTATAATTAGGTTTTAGTTTGCACTTATGTATTATCAAAAGAAATTGAGTACAATGAAGGCACCCTCAATCGACCAGTGCAAAAAATCCACACTTTTCCGCTACGTTTTTTTTTTGCTTTTCTCTGTCCGATTTAGGGTTGATTAATGAGGGTGTTTAAATACTACTCAAATTATTATTCAGCATATAAATATAAGATAAGATAAGACAAAAATATGTAGGAAGATAGAAAATTTCAAGCTCTATCAGAATATATAATTACTTTTTTAAAAAGGTAATTCTATAGTGATGAAAAATTTTAAAAACTTATTTTGATGACAGTGAAAAAATCATATCTTTGGGAATCTGGACATGAGAGTGCCTCCATTGTACTCAATTGCTTTTAGTAATACATAAGTGCAAACTAAAACCTAATTATACAGAAAAATAGAAAACTCCACGGGCTTTCAGATTATGCAATTGGTTTTAAAAAAATACGTTTTTCTAGTGATAATATATTTGAAATATGGACGGAAGCTCTTTTTTTTCCGGGCGTATATCCGATCTTTTTTGCCTGCTTCTAGAATGCAACGAATGCTCTCCTAAGACATGATACTTCCGATCCTAAACTAGTAAGCAGATTTTTTTAACAAGAAACTATGACCTTCTTTTCTATTAGCAATAAACGAGTAGTAGTACAAGGGTGTGGATGTGGGTGTACGTATTTTTTCAAGCCAGATGCGGATCCGTGTTGACACTCATACCCATACCCTAAATGTCTACGGTGGTAGCATACATGTTCTCGTCAGAGGATTATTTCAGTATCGAACTGAACAGTGATCACTATTGCTTGAACCTTTCGTATGTAAACCGTTAACGATTCTGACGATTTCGCGCGCACACATCGAAATTTGGATGTAATGAAGTTATTAAGAAAGAAAATGTATTTCTTACCAGCAACACGATGAAATAATATCACTGTCAGCGTCCAAAAGCTAATAGTGGTCGTCGACGAGACGAATGTAAGCATTTTATGTTCATACAATGCTTACCATGAAAAAAGTCGATTAGGTAATACTTTTGTTTTCGGCAAAGATCTATTTCACAAAGAAGAATTTCTTAAGAAAATAGCACTATAAAGTGAACCGAAAGTTACTATTTTAAAAGAATGTAGTACACACAGCCTGGTAATTTAGTTTGCTTGCCAATTATATTTCATAAAGCTATCGTTCTTTAGTACCGCACTGACAAGGGTTTTGATGACAGGTACGGAAATCATAAATAAAGTAATTGCTTCAACGATAAAACATGAACCCAAAACTAGAATTTTTTATTCATCATCCCTGTTAAAAATAAAATCTGATTATGATACTGAAGTACTCGTTTAATTTTCACAGAGACGTTCAAATGCGGCACTTTATTATTGAAGGGAGAAAAAACAAAAGACAAAATAAAAAAAAAAGCTACTGTTTAGTTTAGTTTTCTGCTTTATTGAAATTTATCAATCATTTTTTTTCGTTGTCGTATCCGTTGGTCGCATTGTTGCTGTTGTTACAACCGTTGTCGTTACGGGTATTGGCACATGTGTCCCAAAATCTTGCTGTGTCTGAATTGAATGTAAACGTTCCTTATGTACATCACCAAAGATACCCAAGTACGGCTGATTCAATATTTCTTGAAGCTCTCGTGGACTTGGATAGCATATAGGAGCAGCAGGAACTTCTACATTTTCTTTCGTAATAAGACGCACACGATTATCATTAACACTACCGTTTATTCCTTTCAGCTGCATGATAATACGACAAAGATTTTCAGCTTGCTCTTTTTTCTGATCAAAGTTAGCTGAATCATACTCTGTATTCAGAACTAGATAGAATTTCAGTTCTTCATTCGGTCGAAAGTGGTTCTTGTAGAATTGTGCACGATCTGCTTCAGGAAGAATTCGTGCATTTGATACTGTATCTAGATTACTGTACTTTGAATACTGAAGATGTATTGTTATAACTCGTTGTGCATTCTTTGCTTCTACTATATCGGTTTGGCGTAGTGGCGGCGAAGCTTTTCTACAGCAGCCACCACAACATCCATTTCCTGCAACGACGGGCACAATACGTGAATGTTCCTGTGCTTTAACACTCTTCTTTACATCAGATGTATAGTAGATATTGATCACATCTTCAACTGGAATCATAACGACAGTTTCATCCGAAGACAAATGTTCTTCTTTTGATGTAGCCAAAGAGCCAAGCTGCCCATCAAACTTCTTCTTGTTTGAAAACTGTGCTTCTGCGTAGTCCACTGCAGTTTTCTTTGATGATTGACGATAAGTATGAATTGAAAGCATCGGAGATGTATACGTTTTATTCGGTGTTAAAATGCCTAGAAGGATCGAAGTACAGTAAAACACGTCATCCTACAGAGTATCACATCGGCTGTTGGCCTCAGTGTATTGGAAGGAGAGATTTTGTAAAACTACTCGAAAGAGTAGTTTTAGTTCTCAGTGAAGATACAGCACAGGGTGAAAATGAAAAACCTCGTGCCCATCGAGCCAGTTCATTGTAGTAGCAAGCATACCGAGTGGCTCGCTGGACATGACTTTCTTATCTCAACTCCAAATATCCTACTGGACTCTAACTCTAAGGCAAGCAGTAGTTTCTTCGCAGAATTTTGTGCACCTACTAAATCTTTCAGTTTTCTTTAAAGCGAGACTTACCCGGATAAATTAACACATAACCATAAGGTATTTCTGTGGCAGTTACATGTTGTGTTTGCACGACAGCCAGTGATGCATCAACAATCTTCGTGTTCTTACAGCATCCACTACCCATTTTCCTGTTTCTTCTGTTTGCCAAGTAAGTGAGAATAACTTTTTTGATAATAGTTGTTGACATACCTTGACGATTTGTTATCATAAATATACCAATCTCTTATCAATTTTGTGAAACTCACGTATGTTTTCGAAGAAAGGAGTTAGTGTAAGTTTTCAGTTCGAAGTTGGCGGCTCCCCCCACCCGAGGACAGAGAACCCCCCATTAAAGACACCTCCCCATTACAGATCTGAGCAACTGCGCATAGAAGGCTTTCGATTATATATAATATATCAATGCTTTCATAAATTCTCGAAAAAAGGTATTTTGCAGTTTAAACATCAGGCATCAGGATAACAAGTTTCAAAGATATACGTGAGTTCCACATTTCAGCTCCTCTGGAGCTGCGCTAACAAGCTTTTTAATGTTTGGTTGGTTTCTCATGAGAGAGAAAAGACAGAATTAGAGTACTGAAATCCACGGATCGTGTGCCCGCATCCGATTCGGGGTTCGGGTACGAAATTGACGGGTACGGGTAGGAAGTTGACGGGTATTGGTAGGGTACGGGTAAGAACTGGACGGTTACGGATAGGGTACGGGTACGGGTATGAGTAATGCAGATACAGGTACGAAGCTTTATACTTATGCAATACTTTATGTAAAAACTAACGTTTTGAGAGAAACAAGCTTCTTTTTTAGCAGAGCAATTCTGGAAAAATTGAAAATGTGTTTCTAATGTTGCTGTTTAATCGCAATATCTTGGATCATCCAGAGGATTGATCGTTTGATGATGCTCCCGGCGATGTATTTGTCATTCACCGTTCAAGAAAAAGGATAAATACGTATATTCCAGCTAGTTCAGCAACTAGTGAAAGAATGTTTAGCGAGACTGGACGAACACTAGAGACTTGACGGCGATTATTAAGTCCTGACTTACTCGATGCTTTTGTATTTCTTCGTAACTGTTTGTGATTGTCATCGAAATATTGTCATTTCATTATTATTTGATCAAGCTAAATAAAATTATGAACTTATATTGTCTATTGAGCTTACGGATACAGTAATAATAAGCTTAATTTCAGATATTAGGGTATACGCACACTTGCCCGCCGGACAGATGCCCGCGGGACAGTTGCCCGTAGGACACTTGCCCGCGGAGGACACATTCCTGCAGCGAACACTTGCTCGCGGGACAGTTGCCTGCATGACACTTACCCGCAAAATAAATTCGCACTACTATTCTTCGAAACAAAGGGAACTAATTTCATTGCTTTCAAAATCTTATTCATTTTATCAACTCAGTTATATATACATCTTGTAAGTAGTAGAATGCAGAAATGGAAACCTACAACAATATGGGTCATTAACAAACGAATTATCAAGTTCAAGAAACATAAGTTTGGC